CCGGGTCCTAGCGCGCGGGGTCCCCTGGGCGGCGCTCTCTCCTGGCCATCTGGGCGGCAGCCTCTCACGCAGCGGACCCAGCCCGGTAGCGAGACGAGCCGTTCCGGGAGCTCAAGGCGAGGGTGCGGGCCTGAGAAATCAGAAAAACTTTCATGTTTTTAGAAGAACGTGGAAACAATCACAGGAAGGAAAAACCAGCTGAACATTGCACTTACCTTGCGGTTTAGCTCAGGGCCTCCGAAATCTCTCTGAGCCTCCCCCCTCCCCCCAAAAAGAGTTACCATACTTTCCTCCTACTTGTTGGGGTAGCATGACCCTTGTTCACTCCAGCGACTCCCGGGGGCCCAGGCGGACCTTCTTACATCTTACCAATTCTGGGGACAGACCCCGTGCCAGTGGGTCGGGGTCGCCCAGCAGGCCTGAGCTCCAGGCTCCCAGGGTGCTCACTCTCCTCCTGGGGCCTCACTGTGCTAGGTCCTCCCTCAGTCTTCCTGGGCGTAAGTCCTCCTCTGCTCAGGGACCACCCTCGGCCCAGGCTCCACACGCTGGGACTGGGAGCGGGTCGTCTGGACCTTCTGGACTCGCGCTCCTCTGCCTGTGACATGGGTACAGACTGGCCTCACAGACTGCTCAGAGGAGACCCAGTGCAGGAAGATGCAGGCCCTGCAAGGGAGATGCCAAGTGACCCCAGAGGGAGTACACAGGCCTTGCACAAAGCACTGGGCTTACAGGGCCCGGGGCCAGATGGGGGCGCCCAGCCGTGGGGCACGGGGTGGGGGGGGGTCCTCCCAAGGGCAGCGTGGTTGGGGAGGCCTCTGAAGGGGCCCAGAAGAGGCAGGAGACAAGGAAGACGACAGGACAGAGCTGCCCAAGGAGGATGACGTAAGGGTCAGAGGATCGCAGAGACCCTTGGGAAAGCTCGGAGGCCCTGGACATTGGCTGAAACGCTGTCATTGGGTCAGAAAAGTGGTGTCACAACCCCCCAGCGACATTGTATGATTTACTCTTCGTTGCTTCTAGGAATCAGTGTGTATGGGCCCTTAGAACTCACACTGCGTTAAGTCTAGCATATACTTACTTTTCATCACTTTTCAGGACTAGATTTTTCTAGAGGATGTGCTGAGTGTGGGTGTCTCCATTCTTTTCTTTGTGCAGCTGGCCTCTGTTTTCAGGAGCAGATTCTTGGTGCTC